AAAAAAATTTACACATTTTAAGTAAAAGCTATTGTGACACCAGTGAGTGAGTGGTGTGTTTAGTACTATTGTTATCAGTTTAATCACTGTTACGCCCCCTATCCGTTGATGTGGAGCAAGACGCAGCAGCAGAAGAGGACTAAGCCGAGGAGGTTATGGAAGATGGCGTGGCAGAACTGCTCAAGGCGGGAGGCGGAGTGGCGGATGGTTGAGAGGGGACAAGGAGGACAGCAGTGGTTGACGTGGCTGAAGATGCTGGACCAGGAGGAGGCTGGCTGGCTTAGAGTAGGCGAGCTGCTTGTACTCATGTGTTGATCCCATAGGCGTTTGTGATGTGAGATCATGTGCCTACGCAAAGCAGTTGTACCTAGGTGGGTGTTGGACTTCCCCCGACTCAGTTTCTTTTGGCACAGGTTGCAAATGGCATCGCTGTTGTCAGAGGCAGACACACAAAAAAAATTCCACACTGCTGAGCTCTGCAATGACGGCATTCTGGTGGTGGACACAGCATGCGTTGATTGGCGTGCTGTCGGGCTGACCCCGGGTGTCGATGCATGCTGTCTGACTGTGCCACTAGCTCCTTGCGACGACCTCCCCCTGCTTCCAACTCGTCTCCTCCTCCTCCCTGTCTCCCCATCTGAACTTTCGCCCTGTTCTTCTTCTTGACGAGCGGGCACCCACGTGACATCCATGGACGCATCGTCATCATCAACCGCTTCACTTGTATCTGACAACTCAGCAAAGGAAGCAGCAGCGGGTACAACATCATCATCATCATCACACCGTACGTCCATGTGTGTAATGCTGCCTGCCTGAGACATATCCCTGTTATCTACATCCTCTGGCAATAATGGTTGCGCATCACTCATTTCTTCAAACGGATGTGTGAATAACTCCTCTGACATACCAACTGAAGCGGCTGTGGTGCTAGTTTTGGTGGTGGCGGCAGGCGGGTGAGTGGTATCTTGAGAGGTGCCTGAAGCTAAGCTGGAGGAGGATGGTGCGTCAAGGTTCTGAGCGGAGGCTGTAGAAGATTGGGTGTCCTGTGTTAGCCAGTCAACTATGTCCTCAGAACTTTTCAAGTTCAGGGTACGTGGCCTCTGAAAACTGGGCATTATTCTAGGCCCAAAGGGAATCACAGCACCACGACCACAATGGCCCCTGCGGGGTAGCCTGCCTCTGCCTGTCATTTTTGTTGGGATTAGTGGTACTATGTGTGCAAGCTACTGTGAGACCAGATATGAGTGGCAATGTGCACTGGCACAGTTGTGCAGAGCACAGGCTGTAGGCCTGACACCCGCTTGAAGATAACTAACTGCTATTCAATCTATAACAGTGAAAAAAGTTTTTTGTTTTTAAATCAAGCTATTGTGACACCAGATATAAGTGGTGGCACTGGTCACCGTATCCACTGTTAGCGTAACACACCCGCTTTAAGGACACTGACTGCTATTCAATATATAACAGTGAAAAAAGTGTTTTGTTTTTTTAAATCCAAGCTTTGTGTCACCAGATCTAAGTGGTGGCAATGGTCACCGTATCCACTGTTAGCGTAACACACCAGCTTTAAGGACACTGACTGCTATTCAATCTATAACAGTGAAAAAAGTGTTTTGTTTTTTTAAATCCAAGCTTTGTGTCACCAGATCTAATTGGTGGCACTGGTCACCGTATCCACTGTTAGCGTAACACACCGCTTTAAGGACACTGACTGCTATTCAATCTATAACAGTGAAAAAAGATTATTTTTTTTTTAAATCCAAGCTATTGTGACACCAGATGTAATTGGTGGCACTGACTGGGGAAATGGGCACTGTGAGCCTGACACAGAAGCTGGCAGCAGTGGCAGACAACTAAGTGCATTTACATTACATAGAAAAATAAAATAAAAAAAAGCATACCCTTATCCCTAACCTAGCTATGCTTTTCCCTATCATATGAACAGCAGCTACACTTTCCCTCCTCTTACTAAGCATGCAGCTTGAGAATGAATCTAAAATGGATGCTGTCCAGTAGGTGGGAGGGTCTGCTAGGGAGGCTGTACTGCTAATTGGCTGGAATGTGTCTGCTGACTGTGAGGTACAGGGTCAAAGTTTACTCAATGATGACGAATAGGGGGCGGGTCGAACCGCGCATATGTTCGCCCGCCGTGGCGAACATGCTATGTTCGCCGGGAACCGTTCGGTACATCACTAATATTAATATATATCTATGTATATGCCCATGGACATACTAGGTACGGCCGACAAAAAACGGTCGTTAAGGACCGCAGACTTACCTAGTACGTCCGCAGCAAATAGGAGCCATGGACTTACGTGGACCGGCGATAATGGTCAGGACCCACAGCAGCAGCTCACATGATCACATTGCCGCAATAGGACTCTGGGAGCTGCCAGCAGGGGGACTGTGGGCTGTCAGGCAGTCCCCCAGACTGCTAAAAAGTAAAATAAAAAAATAAATATTATACAGGTGGTTATCATTTAGCCACCTACTGGTTTTACGACGCTCACACTTACAACCAGGCGGAAGTGCGAGCCGTCGTGTGGATTCCCTGCTCTGGTGCACATGTCTATGTTCGGGAAACATCCCCAAACATAGCGAACGCACCAGAGCAGGGAATCCCTTAACTCCTCACTTACCAACTAATTCATTCTACGACCGGGTCGTAGGAACGGAACTCTGTCGGTAAGTGAGTGTCTGTATTATATATTATATTTTTTAAATATATACACCCTGTTCCACATTATTATGCAAATTCTATTTAAGTGTCACAAAGATTAAATATTTTGTTTTTCAGTTTAACTCATGGATGGTATTGTCTCTCAACACTCTTTTGATCACTGAAAACCATCTCAGACACCTGTGATAATTAGATTGCCAGGTGAGCCCAATTTAAGGAAAAACTACTAAAGGAGGGTGTTCCACATTATTATGCAGAGCACCATTTTCATTCAATATGGGGAAGAAAAAGGATCTCTCTGCTGCCGAAGAGAGTGAAATAGTTCAATGCCTTGGACGAGGTATGAAAACAGATATTTCACGAAAACTTAAAGGACCACTGTAGCAGATGGCATTACGGCTGTCCTAAAAGACTGTTAAAAATTTAATTTGTGTGTTTATTCCATACACATGAAAACTACTGAACCAGTAGACCACACCAGAGAGAAATGTGCACCTTATTAGGCTTTCACACTTCTCTAACCGCAGGTTAATTGGTACGATTGGTACTTTTGCATGTATCTGGTTGGCCGCCATTCGGCATACGCCATCTTACGCACGAAAACCTCAGCGGTGTTTGGTCGTCGAGTGTCTGGAACTCAAATCGGACACTCAATTACCCGAACACCACAGACCTCCAGAGCTCTGTAACTCCCGAACGGAAGGGCTAATCAGCCCCTCGTTCGGTGAGTTAAAAGTACCGAACAAGGGTATTCATGCGAATACAGTTTTAATAGTGGATGTCATGTATTTCTGTGTATTTTACCTCCCGAATGGAGACCGACTGCAGGGCCAAAACACATGGAACCCTTTTCGGCTACCACCTTGTGGTGCGGTCGGTCAAATTGTCTCTTCCACCTAATTCCCGAACCCCTGGTCTGATCTGGGTGAATTTTGGATATGTTGGTCACCCAGATCAGGGCTACAAGGGGGTGCCACTTAGCTCATTGTACCTAACTATTTTGCGGTACATCCAGAATTCGTGGAAAACTACAGTACGTTTAATGGGATTATGTGTCACACTGAGTGGAGGAGATGTGTGGGAGGTAACCGTTACATTATTGGCTACTGTCTTATTATGGTGAATCCCTCCCTTGCATGGGAGAATGCTTTAAAAGGAGGTTGTGTGGATTAAAAATCAGTTCTGCTCCTGCTGCTGTGTGTCGTCCAGTCATTGGGAATATTCGTGGATTACTTTGCTTGCTGGGATTATTGCTCTATGGTATTTTTATTACTTGTTCCTGAGCCTCACTGGGATCTTTAGTGGAGTTAACCTGTGAAATACCAGCTCTCCGCTACAACCACTATAGGCACCCAGACCACTTCAGCTTAATGAAGTGGTCTGAGTGCCAGGTTGAGATAGGAATAACCCTTTTTTTCTGTAAACCTAGTTTACCTATGGGTTAATCCAGCCTCTAGTGGCTGTCTCATTGACAGCTGCTAGAGGGCTTCCGCGCCTCTCACTGTGATTTTCACAGTGAGAAGACGCTTGCGTCCATAGGACATTGATTGAGAATGCTTTCCTATGGACTGGCTGAATGTGCGGCGCAGCTCTTGCCGCGCATGCGTATTCAGCCGAAGAGGAGGAGAGCTCCCCGCCCGGTGCTGGAGAAAGAGGTAAGTTTAACCCCTTCCTCTCCATCCAGCCTGGCAGGAGGGGGACCATGAGGGTGGGGGCACCCTCAGGGCACTATAGTGCCAGGAAAAAGTGTTTTCCTGGCACTATAGTGGTCCTTTAAGCGTGATCATCAAACTATTAAGAGATTTGTTGCTGATTGAGAGCACAGACTGGTTCATGCAGATAAAGGCACATTGAGGAAGATTTCTGCCCGATCAAGAGAGCAGCTGCTAAAATACCATTACATAACAACACACAGATATTTGAAGCTGCTGGTGCCTCTGGAGTCCCACAGACATCAAGGTGTAGAGTCCTCCAGAGTCTTGCAACTGTGAATAAACCTTCTATTCGGCCACCACTAACCAATGCTCACAAGCAGAAACGGCTGCATTGGGCAGAAAAATACACGAAGACTAATTTTCAAACAGTCCAGCTCACTGAGGAGTGCCGTGCAACCCTGGATGGTCCAGATGGATGGAGTAGTGGATGGTTGGTGGACGGCCACCCTGTGTCAGCAAAGTATGTGGCGTTTCTGACTAACCACTTTCTTCCCTGGTAGAGGAGGAAGAACTATGCTTTCCATAATAAAATCATCTTCATGCATGACAATGCACCATCTCATGCTGCAAATACCTCTGCATCAATGGCTGCTATGGGGATAAAAGGAGAGAAAGTCATGGTGTGGCCTCCATCCTCCCCTGACCCCAATCCTATTAAGAACCTATGAGGCATCCTCAAGCAAAAGATCTATGAGGGTGGGAGGCAGTTTACATCCAAACAGCAGTCTGGGAGGCTATTCTGACATCGTGCAAACAAATTCAAGCAGAAACTGTCCAAAAGCTCACAAGTTCAATGGATGCAAGACTTATGAAGCTGCTATCAAATAACGGGTCGTATGTTAAAAAGTAACATGACCTGTTAAAATGTTAGAAGTTTGATTAAAATAGCTTTTGATTTCTGTAAATATGCTGCAAACACAACAAATTGAGCAGAGTAAGTGATGAGAACCGCACCCAATCCCAACGGCCAAGGGTGCTCCAGAGCAGGACCAGCAATCCCAGTACAATAATCCAAGAAGAAAAAACTCACAGGCACTCCAACTTCAAGCCGCAGGCAGATTTATTATGACTGAATGCAACGCAACGTTTCGACCGGAAAGGTCTTTTTCAAGCTCATAACATGAGAATTGATAACATGAGAATTATGCTGATTGTTATTTACATCAATTATTTAAGTAAATTAGAAAAATACATTTGCATATTAATTTGGAACAGGGTGTATACACACTATATATTGAAGGAAAAAAAAAAAAAAACTGGCCAGCGTTTGTGGCTAATCCAAGACCTAAATGAATTGGAGTTAATTGTAAATGATGCTTCAATGGGCATTATTACAAGAAACATGGAATGAGATCCAGTTATAGAGACTCATATTTAAGAGGACATTCTAAACTGCTCCCTTGTCGGTATGGGTACTGATGAAACCTGTTTATCGCATAAGCAATAGATATTTCAGCCCAAAACCTGCACCGACTGAGCCCATTACAGGATTGCTTCAGTTTTTACTTTAGGCACTTGCTGTTTATCAATATTATATAAAATAAAGTTGTGCTGTTTGTTTTTATTCAGCATTTTCACTTCACCTTATCTTGTAATCATCATAAACCTTGCCCAGTACTGTTCCAATTAAGTCTACTGTCCACATCGTCAAGGACATCAAACCACTGGGATATGGGAGCAGCAAACAAGCAGTGTTCCTTGGTGAAAGTATTAAAAAACTGTTGGCTTATGGGTTTACTGTGCAATAGCCATAATATTCGCAATAGTGCTTATGTGATGTAGAGGAGTTATAGAGAATAAGGGCACATAATGACAACCCTGAGTTTGATGGCAATTATATACAATGTGAGTAGAGCAACAACATATATACCAGGACATTCCTACCCCTTCACTGGGGCACTGGTTAGGCAGTGTGTTTTTTTTCCCCTGCAGTTATTTTGAATCTGAGCAATAATCTAACTTCATTAACCACTTTTTATACTATACTGGCCTAAAGAGCTATGAAAAATATACTATACAGTACATCCAACGTTCAAATTAGAGCAGTGCTAGTATCACCAATAACCAAGTTTCCTTGTAACCATTTTGATGACATTTTTCTGGTCTCTTCACAAGATCAAGAAAAAAAAAAAAAAACTCCATGCAAATATATAGCCTGACAAATCAAAACATTACATTTTTGAACAATTTTTTTTTTCCCCTGTGGAATTACAAGAGTTCATCATACAACTCACCTGTGGTCATTTTTTTTGAAACTGTTTTCTTAGCAGTTCCTCCTTAGATCAATTCTAATCTCAGTCTAATCCAATGCTTCTCAGAGGAGCACTGATAACCTATGACATATGCAATGACATGCTCCATCAAACACATTTCTGAATAGACATGAATCATTTCAACGTGTTTTTCTGGCAATAAATAGAAGAAATTATAAAATGTGTTGCACTAAGAGTAATTAGTCTGAAAATAGGCCTTCAAACTTTATGCAGAGTTGTAAAACAAATTTATCAAGATGCCACTCAATTAGCACCGTAAAATGTGTTGGAAACTGGCAACAAACTAGTTTAACTACTGGCATTGCTCTGTGCAGCAGACAAATTTTGGTGAGGCTGGTGGAGTATCTAGTTTTGCAGATGGCCGCGCCTTCTAAAGCTTGTCAAGAAAACCTGGCCCCCACTGACCTTCAACTCTCACTGATGTGGAGCACCCACACCCAATTCTAGAAACCACTAGATGACCATTGAGCGCTTTTGGAAAGCACATCAGTAGGCTACTACTCTGCGGAGGAGTAAGGGTCTGGTTGTGTGAGCCTCCTCTGAACAATCAATATACTCATGCACACCTTTCTACAACTACTAGCCCGCTTAGGCTGAGGGCCACCTTTTTGATGACCCATGGCCATAGGACAGACTGCAACCGTTGGTGGTGTACCATTCACACCTTCTGTGTCTCCCCAATGGAGAAAGACTGGCTACCCGAATGTCCAAGTACATGATTCACAGATGCTGGCCTACAATCCAGCCTGTGGCTGAAAGGACATTGCTGTCTCTGAACTCTCCACCTGTTAAAAGGACACTATAATCACCAGAACTACAGCTTATTGTATTTGTTCTGGTGAGTAGAATCATTCCCTTCAGGCTTTTTGCTGTAAACCCTGTCTTTTCAGAGAAAATTTAGTGTCTACATTGCAGCCTAATGTCCACTGGTCACCCCTTAGCTGGCTGCTATAAGTGCTTCCTTGGGCAGTTCTGCAGAGTAAGCATCATTGGCATTCAGTCTCTCTACCCTCTGCATGCAGACACTGAACTTTGCTCATAGAGATGAATGGATTCAATGCATCTCAATCAGCAGATGCTGATTGACCAGGGCTGTGTTTGACTTATGCTGGCTCTGCCCCTTGATCGAGTCCTTACATGGAAGCATTGTGCTGATGTCAGACAGGGGAAGGTCAGAGGCAGAGCCAGCAGCAACAGACTTTAATACAAGTACGATTTTACTATATTTAGGGAGACAAGAAGGAATCAGGGGGCTAATGTCTAACACCGTAGGGTCAGGAATACATGTTTATGAACCTATAGTGCTCTTTTAAGCCTTCCAGCTGTAGTAACAGGCTGACTGAAAAGATGCATCGCTTTAAAGTCACCTAAAACATCTTTATCTGATCTGTTTTATTAAGTTTTATTGTTCATTGTCTGCATGCTGCCTTTCTCTGTGGTCCGTGAAACTCAGTGGTACTGTGGCCCAATGTCTGGGATGTTTTAAGAAATTAGGAACCTATACTCAGTCTTTCCCATAGAGGCTTTTCTAGCTTGTTTCCTACTATAACAAACTCCTATAATTCAAGCATGTCCCTCATTTGTCAAACTAGTAATTTTAATCTCTGAATTATAGCATTAATATTACAATCATGCCAACCATGCCACCCTCCCAACAATGATGCATTACCAATAATCTTTGAACTGTGCTCGATTTTGATCTTGACTGTCATACTAAAAAAAAAAAAAAGTTATACCGAAAATAGTCCGTAATCATTTTAGTTTATTTTCTCCCAAAAAGATTCCAAACTAGACACATCTGACAGAGCCTATCCTTTATTAGTGTTTAACTACTTGTGCAATCCACAGTAATGGGATGGCAATATACATTACATTTTACATTATTAGGTTTGAATTAAGTGAAATACAAAATATACAAGCCCATTTTACATATAACCTTAAGTGGCAAAATATACACACCTAACAGGCCTGAGCCACACCTTTTAGATATTTTTGGAGAAAACCCTGAATAACTTTTAGAAAGACATGGTATTTGCATGGAAATCCATCCTTTAGTTACAGTAACTCAGTGAACCACTTGCCAACTGTAATACAACATATAACGTGTTCTAGAAAACACCTTCAACTAGGCCAGGCAATTGCTTAGGGCATTGTACTATTTTAGGAGGTCCCAATGGTTAAAAACCAATGGGGGCACCATTTAAAACAGTAAATTACAAGTATCTGTGTGTTTACTAAAGGAACATGTAAGAGAGCAAGTAATGTACTGGAAGTTTACATTTTCAGTGTCAATTAAACTGCGTTGCAGTCACATTATTTAGCAGACAAACGCAACGACTTTCAGCCACTGATTACAATCCAAATATGGGAAGAATTGTATTTTACATAGCTCACCAGGCCAAGACACATGTACGTATAACTAGACACTGTGCCCCAGATTGCCAGAGGACTGCATCTTGCATCAAGGCTCTATAACCAGACACTAAAGATAGAGGGTTTACACTAAACGCATATTACAGGAAATGGAAATCAGAAGGTTAAAGCATCGAGCCCAGCCAAATTTAGAGAAATATCAACTAAGCTGGTCAAAAAGCTAGGCTATGCTAGCCTATATTTGAAGTTAAGAAACCAGCAAGTACACTATATATTGCCAAGAATGACAAGCCTTTGTAGTATCTGGTAAAATAGCACTCAATATAGCTCACAATGGAACAGCTGAAGGTCTACTGGGTCCAGATAATTAAAACAAAACCAGGTATTTGAATTAGTGAGATTGTCAAAAGTTCCAGCAATAGGTTGATGACTGAATAATGATCACATTGCGCACCTAGGTTACAACTTGAGTTGGAAACAAATTCATAAAAATAAACCAGCAGCTAGTTATAGCAGATATCCTGCTAAACACAATGGTTAAAAAGTGTATAATATAGCAGGTTATAGTAAATGGGGGCCATAAATTCTGGGAATGAAGCAAGTTTATTTTACATCTACTAAAATGGAGGCACAGCTCCTTATTCTCATTACATTAAACAAGAAGAATTGAATAAATGCTTTTCATATCGCCATTCAACTTTTTGTATTAGCTTCTTATACATAGTTATGAGTTTATCCTCATAACAGGACACTAGAGTCCCACAGCTACTGCTAAGCACTGCATTCCACCAATACAATGTTCTGACGCAAGATATTCTTTCAATCATGGAGGCGCTCGATTGAACTTTCCTTATTGCATTCAAACATTGCAGATGTCGTCTGTCTAAAGATGTTTAACAGCAGCGATATTTCATGGATTAAAAAAAAAAGTTTTTTTGGGGGGCGTGGTGGTTGTTTAGTCACCTTATCTGAGAGGATGACATTTTAGGTGCTATTGTAGAAAATAATCCAGAAACCTTAGCACACCTACTTTGAAATTGTTACAATTGTTTAAATACCTACAAACCCCAGACTGTTTACCACTTAAAGTTTGTATTTACAAAACAAGTGTACATTTTATGATGCAAAGTAACTGTAGACCACAGATGTAACATACATTAGCAAGAGCAATTTAACATTTAACTTGAATCTGAAATGTATGCAAATAAGCAGTTACATAATTAGCCATTTAAACCAACTTTCACATGTTTGTAGGTTCTATGCTTAAGTGAAGCTGGGCAAGAAGGAAAAGCACAAATTAAAGTCACAACACATCTGCTATAATAGTGTTGGTCATTTCAATCCTTTTGTGCAAAGGACTGTCGTCCCCCCAGAGTAGACCTATACATATTACTTTCTGCAAAATTACCAAGGACATCTAGATCCCAACATCACAACGGGAGACTAGAAACCATAATGTTGCCAACAGATTGATGGCCATGCACAAAAAGAAAAAAAGTATAAGGACTCATTGCAAGTTGTACATAATGAGTAAAGAATTTTTTTTTTTTTTTAACCAGTTTTTAAGTAACTCCATGTTTTCACACAAGTTGACAGTTTAGATAGTCTTAAGCAGTTTCTTTTTGAAAGAACACATTGAGTGAATAATAGAATGTCAGTGCATTTTAGAGCAGTAACCAAACTCTAGCCCTTAAAGATCACCAATGGGTCAAAATCGAACCATTCACTAATGTGTACTCAGTCGGGTGAATATACAGGTTTTCATTAAGAAGCGACAGATGAGTAGCAACATTTGTTTAGTGTCACTTTAGACTGCATATTCTGAATGCATGCAGAGAATAGAAGCCAGTGTTAGTCCGCACATTTACAATTTTCCTAAACCTTTCAAGAAAAATCAAAAGATTACAGTAACCAGCATTCCTGCACTAGGTGTCCTTCAAGATGAAATACACAAACTGACCAAATTTAACACTTAAAAGTTCACACAAAGTACATGAAGAAATTTGTGGGATTTCTACGTAGCGGTAAGAAGTGTAAGCAAATCATCCAATTTAAGCCACATGTAGCTTTAAAGACATCAGAAGGATGTTCAGTTGTAGGGCAGGTGCTTAAAGTAAGTAGGCACAGGAGAGGAGATGTTATACGTCAATTTTACACAGAAATGTTGTGCTGCACAAACTATGAAGATCTTACTTCCCAGAATGCATGTGAGGGAAGAGGATTCCGCCAAGGTTGGTGGGCGAGGTAATTGGAGATTAAATCCAGAACTGTTACCATACCAGCTTTTAAAAAGGTACCTTAGATGTATTAACACAGTTAAGTATATAGGAGGGATTTGACAGCTTTGATAAAAGTACTTGACGATTGCATGATCATTGTCCACATTGTCACAAAAGGTAGAATCCACAAAATAAAAATTCACACTGGAAGCACTGCAAACCGATTCCCAGGTAGGTCTTTACTCAGTTTAATATTTCAAGATAAATACAAGGAAAAAAGCAACTGAACTGCATTTTTCTATTTTTATTTTTTTTTTCAGTCTGATGACAAAGGCCTCAAGTGAAAATCTGTAGCGTTAACAACTCTAACCCTCATTTGTGCCATGTATGCCCACTATGTAAATCATACAACATACAGAGTGCCTGTCTAAACTTTAGGCAGGCTTTGACACCAGTTTATAAGGTTACAATATGCAAGCCAACATGTTGGCATAGGAGAGTACAGAGGTAATACAATTTTGTTTGCACATGGCCATCAGGACTTTTAAATTTGTTTTATAATGATGGGACAGGGAAGTTGCAAACAAACTGGCATTTCTAAATCACTTAAGTTTACTCAGTCCAAGCTGTGAACTTTGTACTCCAGACATAACATGCATAAGGCTTAAAACTTTATTTTTTAGTTTTAGAGTTCTAGGTCTCATTTTGTTCTAAGATATACTAAGGGGTACTTTTAAAAAAAAAATCACACTGCCCAGTCAACTGTCCTTTTATCCTAGGTGTATGTAACCAGTATTTCTCATCAACACTTGATTTAAACTATGCATCTGGAGCAGATTTGATGCAACAAAACTAATGCTGTCAGTTCAGATGGACCTTCAAAATGAACACCTGCAAGGATATCAACACCTAAAGCATTCAAACTGAATTTAACTGCAGTGATTTGGAAAATAGCCAGTTAACCTGCATTGCCCATTTCCGCTTCGAGCAAACACATGAAAACAATTGAAAAAAAAAAATAATGAGGTTTTGAAAAGGCCATATGCTTTGGTGACAATCAGAACCAAATTTAAGATCTGTTTATCTTGACCTGAGCACTTTGCTCGAGCCTGGGAATATGTTTATTTGGTCATGGCCTTGATGGCAACGGCATACTCCTCATTCATAGCACACAAGACGGAGATCTGAAAGACAAATGCAACAATCATTAACTACGTAGTTGCAAAGATGCTAGCTAAAAGTATACCCCTTGAATATGACATTAAATTAACTCAAAACATACAGTATTACATACTCAAGTAAAGGGATATTATGCCTTGGAAGTATTGTTAAACAAGCAATACAAATAAAACCGCACGAAAGTCCCCTTACCATAATCTCTTCTCCGCCTTCAAATCTAGTTTCTATTTCTTTTCCCAAATCACCATCTGGCAGCTTAAGATCATCACGAACATCACCACTGTCAGTCAGAAGGGAAAGGTATTTGTCGTTGATCCCAATCAGCTAGTGGGAAAAAAAATTAAATCACTTTACGTTAACCACCATACAGCAGGTTTATATTTACAACCATTTAAAAACAAGTTTATACTAATACGCTAGCACACCACCACAAACAGATTATATAATTTTATGTACAGAAAGTTTAGATACAATTACAAAATAGGCTTAAAGCAGGGCATGTCACTTCATCAGGTCTTTACATAAGTTGCAAAACCCTCTGAAAGTGATAAGCTCACTTCATGCAGTGGCCAAAGTAGAAAAGGCCATTGAGGGTATTGCAATCATCCATATTCAGCTCCTGGTGCTTCATCCTTCAGGAGCATGTATTAATGAAGTACCCACAAACATTTTGTCAACATGTTGACAAAACATTTTCATTCTAGTCAACATGCATATTTCATATAGACCTCTTTAAAGCACATTTCAAAAAGTGGAACAATGTGGCTCATTGGAATGCGTGGCACATATGCAGCAATTGCTCTGATATACCAACACTTCCCAAAAAAAACGCACTAAAACAAATGCTTCCCTTTGAAAAGCACTCACTGCTTCAAAGAGTGAGACAGAAAACCAAGATTTGTTGGCAATGGGTTTGATAAAAGTGAGTGTTGCTTTAAGAAATTAGATCCCTTACTCCTTAAAAAGGTCCACTCCACTGCCCAAATACAAAATAAATATCACGGTTTAACCCCTTAAGGACGGAGCCAAATGTACACGTTGTGAACGAAACAAAATGTAAACAAAACCTGGCATTTGCGCTACATGTCTGTCCAACCGTAATTCACCTCTTTCATATTAAATGCACCCACCCTTATCATATATCATTTTATTCAGGGGAAACAGGGCTTTCATTTAATATCAAATATTTAGCTATGAAACATAATTTAATGAAAAAAATTTGAGAAAATTAGAAGTTCTGTTATTTTTTTTAGTTCTACATGACATTTTAACTGTCAATGTCTTAATACTGTTTGCTTTTACTGCAAAAAAATGCACATATTTGTATTCAGCAAAGTCTCACGTGTAAAACAGTACCCCCTATGTACAGGTTTTATGGCGTTTTGGGAAGTTACAGGGTCAAATATAGCACGTTCCATTCGAAATTTAAATTCGCCAGATTGGTTACGTTGTCTTTGAGACTGTATAGTAGCCCAGGAATGAAATTTACACCCATAATGGCATACCATTTGCAATAGTAGACAACCTAAGGTATTGCAAATGGGGTATGTCCAGTCTTTTTTAGTAGCCATTTGGCCACAAACACTGGCCAAAGTTAGCGTTAGTATTTGTTTGTGTGAAAAATGCAAAAAACGCCAATTTTGGCCAGTGTTTGTGACTAAGTGGCTACTAAAAAAGACTGGACATACCCGTTTGCAATACCTTGGGTTGTCTACTATTGCAAATGGTATGCCATCATAGGGGTAATTTTCATTCTTGGGCTACCATAGGGTCTCAAAGGCAACGTACCCAATCTGGCAAATTTTAATGTGAAAAAAATGAAACAAGCCTTATATTTGACGCTGTAACTTTTGAAAACACCATAAAACCTGTACATGAGGGGTACTGTTGTACTCGGAAGACTTCGCTGAACACAAATATTTGTGTTTCAAAACAGTAAAAAGTATTGCAGCAATAATATCGTCCGTGTAAGTGCTGTTTGTGCGTGAAAAATGCAAAAAACTTCACTTACTGGCGATATCATCGTTGTAATACATTTTACTGTTTTGAAACACTAATATTTGTGTTCAGCGAAGTCCTCCAAGTAGAACAGTACCCCCTATGTACAGGTTTTATGGTGTCTTGGAAAGTTATAGGGTTAAATATAGCGCTAGCAAATTAAATTCCCTTTACTTTCGGTATGGGTTGTCAGACAGGTCCCGCTAATTGTAATTAAGATACTTAAATATATATGTAAAATTACATAAATATATATGTAGAATTAATATATAAACATAGAAATCCTTGCACTCAGGCTAAAAGGTTACATACCGGGTGCTTGTAGTCCTAGGGAATTATATGTATATATAATTTTTTTAAATATTTTTATTTATATATTAGGTATATATTTATGTATATAGATATATTATTTCGTTCTATGTGTATTTTGATATAAATATATATTAATATCACAATACAGTTAGAACGAAATAACACATCTTTTTTTTAACGTATTTACAAAAAAATTTTATATTATATATAAATATAACAATAATTATATATATATTTAATCAATATCAGTCTACGTGTAATTTGATATTAATATATATTAATAGTAAAATACACCTAGACAGTGTACATGTGTATGTATATGTATATCTCTATATATGATCTAAGTATAAATTTTTTTTTTACACTTAACTTATGTAATTTTATTTCCAGCCAGCAGTGGGACCAGGGTCGCAAGGACCTCACTGTCACATGGCCGGGGGGGCTTCCAGGAGGCTGGATGTGCCGCAGGGGGCTCCCTGGGAGTCCCCCCAAATGCGATAACCAGCGACCGGGTAAGTAATGAAAGACCGGAGGGCGTACTAATACGCCCGGCGGCGTTTAGAGCCGCCTAAAATAGGGCGTAATAGTACACCCTCCAGTCTTAAGGGGTTAATAGATCTAACAAATGAAAACTTGCATGCATTTATGTATCTTTTCATTGGTGTTATAGCTAAAAACAGCAGATCTCATGTCTGCTGCCTTTGCAAGCCCTCCTCTTCGAACCCCAACCAGACTGTCTATTCACAGACTTCCGAATACAGGTGCTGTGAACAATTGCTGCATTTGAGTGCAAAGCTAACCAAACCAGGAAGTAACAGGACATGTTGTCTGCTTGAAAAGCCAGGGGCGTGTAACCAGTATACTTTATAAAAGTAACTTGTAATTTGAATTAAAAAAAAAAAAAGTCACACAAAAGCTTTTAATCAAGCTAAAATGTTTTAGGGATCTGGAGTGTCCCTTTAACCCCATAAGGACCAAACTTCTGGAATAAAAGGGAATCATGACATGTCACGTGTCCTTAAGGGGTAAAGGACAGTGGCCACAAACAAAACAGACCTGTAAATAAGCAGGTGTATACGGTGTCATAAGTTTGTAAACACTGTAGTTTTATTTAAGCACTTGAACAAAAAAGACAAGAGAGGAAGTAATACTCAATCACCATGCTTTAAACAACTCCAAAAGTTAATTGTGGCAAGTTATTCCTTGTAGGATCTATGTTTTAACGCTGTTACAGGATGCATGACAGACTTACGTTTTGAAGAAAAAAGCGTGCAGTTAGCCAATTTTTAGAATATGAAATAAGAATACCACCCATGCATCATTTTTGCCCTGTTCACACATCTGCTTGACAAAACTTGCCTTCCCTGGATTACATTAAATATTCCAAGGGCTATGCAAAAGAATGGGGTGAAAAAAATTAACCTTCCAAAAATTGTTCGGATTATTTTGACTTCAATAATGTGTGCGTAACAAGACTATACCCTATATGCAATCTAAGTCTTTAGATTGGCCATATAAATTGTAACTCATGGCACCTCGGGAAGAATCTGTAAGCACTAAATAGTGCTGAGAAGCAGGAATCACCACCCACAAAATGCTTAACCCCTTAAAGGGACACAACTTCTGCTCTCTTCAGAAACCTCCTGTTTATGAGTAAAGTTCAATTTACAGAGCAAAAGATAAAAACTTAAAGCAACTTAACATCTGAAAACGAAACCATATTGTTTTCATGCAGGATGTGTCAGTCAAAGCCAGGGGAGGTGTGGCTAGGGCTGCATAAACAGACTCAAGTCATTTAACATCTAAGTGGAATTGAACAGTGAAACTCCGGCGGCATGACCTATACATCAAGACTGCTTCATTGAGGTAAAGTTGTTTTGGTGATTATAGTGTCCCTTTAAGGACAGAGGTAATTGTCTGCCTTCTGAACCAAAACCTTGAATTTATTCTGTAGGTTTGCTCCAATGTAATTTAAAGGGATACTATAGTCACCAGAACTACAGCTTATTGTATTTGTTCTGGTGAATATAATCAGTACCTTTGGGATTTTTGCAGTAAAAAGCAGTGTTTACATTACAGCCTAGGGATACCTTCAGTGGCCAATCTTCAGATGGCTACTAGAGGTGCTTCCTGGGGCAGTGCTGCGCAGCATTGGCATTTAGGGTCTCCACCCTGTGCACCGAGACACTGAACCTTCCTCAGAGATGCAGCTCTATAAGGAGATATGACTGTTTGGCTTGTGCTGACTGCCTCCTTGACAATATCTGCCAATCCAATGCTTTCCCATGGTAAATAATTGTGATTGGCAGATATTACCACTTCTGAGCAGCCAAAGATTTTACTATATTTAGGGGGCAAGGCAAAACCCCATAATGTATTCAGATACATCTTCGGTGTACGACACCCACAATGCATGCCTTTGCCACTATCCTCTGATGCTACAGCACCATAAGAGACGATCATATCAGCTTTTAATGTTAAAATTTGTAGAGACGAATTTTAGGGAGTTTATGGTTCATTTTGGGGTGTTTGAATTGCACAATGGATGCATACAATTTGTGAAATTCAACATCACGTGGTATGCCACATAGTATATTTTGAGCCTTACATACAGCCATTTTAGCACCATTCCCCCCCAGAGTTCATGGTATTTTATCTTTTTTGCAAATTTAACTCTATACTGTAACAAAATCACTAATTTGAGCTTAACTATATCTCCCGAGTACAGAATGACACTTCATACCACTATCAAGGTGTTTGTGTGAAAATACAAAGCTGAATCTATTAAACCAGTCCATTATTTTTTTTCTTCCCTTTTATGTAAGCACAGTGCTGAACATTCTTCATAGAGAAGCATTTAACGCAGATTGGTGTTGGGTGGTATTTTGCAGCGGGTGTGGATTTGCTTACCAAAGCTTTATATTGACAGAGATTCTCAATTACGATCTCAGTCAAATAGACAGAGCCAGCTGGAATAAAAGTTTTTTTGGTGTGGTGTGGTGGAGGGGATAGAGGAAGCAACCTAACATGCTTTTCTAACACTAAGGTCAGGAATGCATGTAATCCACTTCAGCATATAGTGTTCTTTTGAAGGAGCACTATAGGGTCAGGAACACATGTATTTCTGACCCTATAGGGTTAAAACTGCCATCTAGTCCCCCTTGCCTCCCTAAATATGGTAAAATCTTACTTGTATTCAAGCCTGAAGCTGCTGACTTTGTCCCAGTTTACTTTTAAATTGTCCACTGCCTGCTGACATCAGAAGTGGTGGCCTGATCCAATCACAGTGCTTCTACATAGGATTGGCTGAGACTGACGAGGCAGATCAGGGGCAGAGCCAGCACAATTCAAGAGACAGCCCCGGCCAATCAGCATCTTCTCATAGAGGAGAATTGAATCAATGAATCTATGAGGAAAGTTCAGTGTCTGCATGCAGAGGGAGGAAACACTGAATGTTTGGATGCATTTTAGGCAGCCATGAAGTAAGGATCTCCAGCAGCCATCTGAAGTGTGGCCAGTGAAGTTATCACTAGGCTGTAATGTAAACACTGCATTTTCTGTGAAAAGAGTGTTTACACCAAAAGGCCTGACGGTAATGATTCTACTCACCAGAACAAATTCAATAAGCTGTAGTTGTTCTGGTGACTATAGTGTCCTTTTAACTATTCTAGAACACCTGAGAATGATACCCCAACTTGTATACCTTTGCAAAGTAGTATTAATCCCAGTTAAAAGCCTAAACTAAAACACTAATTCTAAACCAAATTTAATAAAACACCTTTATCCTAACCCATAGTCTAATTATAACCGTCACATATATCCATATAAATAGTGTTAGACGGATTCCCTGTAATGTCAGCACAGGAATTCCCTTGCTGGCTTGAATCCTAATCTGGAAGCCAATTCCAATACTAAAATTAAATTCTAAACACATCTGAATACTAATCCCAAAGGTTCCCCTCTGCTAATATCTAAGCAGATACTAGCAAAGGGAAATCCAAGATAAGGGTAAGTTGCTGCCATCTACTAGCTATTTATAGAACGACAGCCTCCCATCAGTTTCATGGATTATAGTATGCCCAGTGCATTAGATAGGTGCTGGGCAACTGACAAAGCCCAGCGCTAATCAAACTGCAATTGGGACATTGTGGGAGACCCTCCAGGGTCTGTTTAGACGCTGGGGGTCTCACAAACACTAGATCTAGTGAGAAAACTACTGGCTGAGCTTGACCACTCAGATGCAGTGTTCTCTATGGATTTGAAGGGCTAAATGCAGTGCTGACCTTCAGCAGCACAATTGATAGCTGGTACTCGCTGGTGTGATCAGGGATTTAACCTGTGTCATTATGCTCTAAAGTGATTAATGCCCATTTTAGTTTGGATGAAATGACACTTATCAACACAGCTTTAGCTATGCAATATCAACAAAGTCAACAGACTTGCTATATGCTGAAGTCGATTAAAACTATAGATTAATTTAGTGTATGGGTTGCAATGGAATTCCTAAATATGTGCGATTTACTACACCTGCCTTTTCTCCCTCTCCGTTTGTTAGCCACTTTATTTGCAAGCAAGCATCGAGGATGCAAGCGTGGGAACATCTGTGGCACAAAGAATGGTAAAGTGTGCTATTTTTTCCATCTTTTTGTGTCCTTAAAGGCTACTTACAAAAAACAAAACATACACACCAGACAATACTGTATAAATTTGTTGAGTAACCCTTTGTGTCTTGTGAACACACCAACTACAGCCCATCACAATTATGGTGCTAGCAAATGCAGCCTCTTGTTCTGTGTTAAACCGTTTGAAAAACCAAGGGTCACAGAAGAGCCAATGCAGCATTGAACAGCTAATCAATGCTATCCAAACTTAAAACAGACTGAAAGCCTGTTCACGAAGAGCTGCAGCAGCTACCTACACATAATTTCAATCAAATTACAATGCAGTCAAAAGAAACCAACACAAAGCAAGGACTACCGTCTTGTGTTTTCCTTCCACTTGATAAAAGGTGGAGCTGCCATCGCCATGCTCTAATCACACTAGTGACTACTGTGAGGAAAAACCTATTGCCTGTGGAAGCTCCTGCAGCCTTGTGGGATCTTATATAGAGTGCTGCACCAATGTAGGCTCCTGGCAGATGAAACACTAGGAACCGAAGATAAAGATGGAGGCACCCTCCATGGACAGCTCCAGGGAAGTAAAAATCTACCTTGTGCTACAGTCAGGGGGCAATACAAAATATGCATTTATGGCAAAGACCCCAGAATGTGAAAGAGCCGTTGTAACTATTCATACAACTTAAAGTAATGCTGCAAAATATTTTAGAGTGATATAATCAAGTTATGGAAGATACCATAGCTGGCAAAGTTTACTGGGCCATAAATATTCACACAAATACAGCTTGTGATCTCAGTTTGAACTTAAAAATATATGAATATTCCAAGAACAATACAGCTCCCCTCCTTATATATTGTAAGTAGTCAACTATTATACCTGGAGCCATCATAGTGGAAAGTTTTATATTGATGGACACTTACTTTGATCCTCCGGGAGCCTATGGTCCATCCAGTCCTCAATAATATCCTAGAGCAACAGTTCCTATTATTGTTGAAAAATCTTAATTTTGTTCCTATTTTGACACTACTTAAGATGGGAATAAGCACAGGCACCAAAAAAAAACAAAAAAACAAACAAGTATCAAAGCGTTTTATTATAGGAAGAGAGCTGTAGCAGTTATGGTAGAAGGCTGGTACGATAGTTGAATAGGTGCATATAGCCACAATGCAATGACTGCACAAGATATCCAGAGCATTTGTTTAGATAATTAAATCCAGAGAAGAGATTTTAAACCATTAAACTGTCTAGATGCTTTTAAATACAAATGTTTATTGCGGACATTTACATATTGCCAACAGATTGTGCTCTGCTTTATTAAATATATGTGCGGGGAAATAACAGCACATAAGTATTTGAACTCTTAAAAGGAGACAACAGATAGGATGACAATTGTATCAAAGTGTAGATTGCAATCAAATGTGGTCAACTTACTTGATAATCACTTCTTTTAATATTTGGAACATCCATGTTGTGGGTAGATGGACAAATATCTTCATACTTCTTACCGCTGAAAATATCAATACCAACAAGGTGAACCTGCAAAACAAATCAACAGAAATGCTAAATGTTTTCTGAAACCACAAGCAATAAATATGTACCACCTTTGCTTAATTAGAAAATGTAACTTCTCTGAAAGTGAGATTCCTTGTTTTCCCCCCCATCCCATTAAACACCACTAATGAATTTGAGAATGAAATGTCCAACACAGGACAACCAATGCAGTACTTGTGTCCATGGAAACATCACTACATCTAACTAGATGTTAGACTTTCATCTCAATTAAGTTATGGTGTCCAGTGGTCGTGCCTTCTCACTGTGTTATGGTAAACTGTATATAGCCAGAAGCTTTATAGTCAATAGAATAGTATTTTTGGAGCCCCTGTATAAGCAAACACTATAAACACTGCGACTACGATGCCTTTATGCAAGTCCCACAATCACTTTGTGATCTTCTAACAATATACATCTGGCTTACTATACAAAAGACAGTCATGTTATACTTTAATGGGCATTAAGAGCGGACGTCTACTGTTACATACGTAATAGTCACTTTTTGACTGCACCTGTGCATCTAGCCAACGAGACTGGAAAAGACAATTACTATTTCTACTAATCAGAACTGTTCCACCAGAGGAATTTAACATGCCAGTGCATATTATATATTCTTTAGACACACACACACAAATTTAATCATTACTAGCTTTCTTGTATTTACCTTGGCATGACCGTGTTTGCCGGTCTTAGAAGTAGACATTTCAACAATTTTACAAGGACGTCCCTTCAGAACCACAAAGCCGTTCTTGCGCAGGGCAGAGCACTGCATGGGGAAAGTGGTGGAAGCTCCAGCATCCCCAGTGGTGAAATCGATATCATCTGCCATGTTGCTGGGTGTCTAAGGTGGCAAACATAGGATTGGTAATAAAGAATCACTGAACGGTCACAAATCTGTCACAAATCTAACACTAAAGCACATTATGATCTATGCAAGACATTGAAATTCTATATATAAAATATGGTGTACATTTCCCATGATGCCCTAACATTTAATAGGCACTTCATACTGGTAACTATGCCCATTAAGTTAATAATGCAGAGGTTAAAGCAGTCTTTGTATTAATATCTAAGATTTCTGTAATATCCCACAATGCTGCGATGTGAAGTTTGCCATGTTGGAGCTCTCCTTATGTTTTACAGGCAGAGGGCCAAGGCAGTACCCAGAGATGGGGATTAGAATTGGGGGGCCCAGCCTGCGTTAACCCATTGAGTGCCCGAGGATGCTACCCGCAGTGCCCACATGCGGTGCCCATAGGGTTAAGGTCACAGCCATGGCGAGTGGGTCTGACCGGGGGGAAGCCGGGCTCCGGGCCCTGTCACTATCCACGTGTCGGAGACACGCCTGGCCCAGGAAACGGAAGCCGCCAGCACAGGCTCCAGCCGGCCAGGAGAGCCCGGTTACCGCAGGCAGGAGCCGCCGGATTGGGAGCCCCGTACTATGGCGGCCCCTGGGCAGTAGCGCAGCTCAGCGCGGGAAAGCTGCCAGGCTGGCCGGGGATCCGGCAGCTGTTCGCAGGCTCCCAGGCCGCACCTCGCCCATCCCCCCGCACCCAGCCCGCATGGTGAGCAGGCCCACTCCCAGCCAGCCAGCGGGCGGCACGGCCAGGCCCAGCACGGGCGCCCGGGAGCCAGGCGAGGCGCCAACTCTCCGCCCGAGCCGGTCCCAGCCTGGCCCGCTACACCCCCCGGCCATGCCCGCCGCATGCATCGCACGACGCCATCCCCGCCCCGAACCAGCGAGAGCCGAGCCCGGCACACCGCGAGGCTGGGATCCAGGAGCCCCCGGCCGCCATGCCAGCCCTGCCTTACCTTGCAACAAAAAAAGAACGTCACTGCGCAAACGCGCCCAATTTCACTGCGGCAGCCCGGGAGAGGAGGGATCAGCGGAGGCTTCTCCCAGGACCCGCCCCTCCACTTCCGGTTCTGGTGGGGGTTGTGGGGCGGGGCCGGGCTCGCGCAGGCGCACGTGCCGCGGACAGGGTGGGGTTTAGGCACTGAGCCCCCCCCCCCCGTCAGAGTTACGTCACCAGACAGCCCCGCCCACCTTCAGCGCGGTGCATGCGTCATATCCGCCGGGGACTCACCACGTGGTGGGATCGGCAAGGAGCACATTGTGCGAGTACGCATACATTGACTTTACCTGTAACTGCTTATAATGGAATCTGTACCACAACCCAGCCTACAGTGACCGAGGGGGATCGCTGTATAGCGAATAGGAAATCCCAATGAGTGATGGGATCGCTGTATAGCGAATAGGAGATCCCAATGAGTGATGGGATCGCTGTATAGCGAATAGGAAATCCCAGTGAGTGATGGGATCGCTGTATAGCGAATAGGAGATCCCAGTGAGTGATGGGATCGCTGTATAGCGAATAGGAGATCCCAGTGAGTGATGGGATCGCTGTATAGCGAATAGGAGATCCCAGTGACCGATGGGATCGCTGTATAGCGAATAGGAAATCCCAGTGAGTGATGGGATCGCTGTATAGCGAATAGGAGATCCCAGTGACTGAGGTGATCACTGTAAAGCGAATAGGAGATCCCAGTGAGTGCTGCGATCGCTGTATAGCGAATAGGAGATCCCAGTGAGTGATGGGATCGCTGTATAGCGAATAGGAGATCCCAGTGACTGAGGTGATCACTGTAAAGCGAATAGGAGATCCCAGTGAGTGCTGCGATCGCTGTATAGCGAATAGGAGATCCCAGTGAGTGATGGGATCGCTGTATAGCGAATAGGAGATCCCAGTGACTGAGGTGATCACTGTAAAGCGAATAGGAGATCCCAGTGAGTGCTGCGATCGCTGTATAGCGAATAGGAGATCCCAGTGAGTGATGGGATCGCTGTATAGCGAATAGGAGATCCCAGTGACTGAGGTGATCACCCAGTGTAAAGCGAATAGGAGATCCCAGTGAGTGCTGCGATCGCTGTATAGCGAATAGGAGATCCCAGTGAGTGATGGGATCGCTGTATAGCGAATAGGAGATCCCAGTGACTGAGGTGATCACTGTAAAGCGAATAGGAGATCCCAGTTACTGGGGGGATCACTGTATAGCGAATAGGAGATCCTAGAGACGGATGGGATCACTGTATAGCGCATGAATCGTCAACCTGGTCCCTACCGCCCACTAGTGGGCCTTTTGGGATTCCAGGTGGCAGGTAGGAACTTCAGAGGTTAAAACCTCCTTTTGAGCAGGCGCGTGCGAGCACACACATCAACCAACGTTCGCGAGAATTTGTGCAGTAGGGATTTCTGAGGTTTAAACCTCCTTTTGTGAGAGCGGGCGGGCATGAGTCCACACATCAATCAGCCGTGTGCGAGAATGCGTGTAGTAAGGATTTCGGAAGTTAAAACCTCCTTTTGAGCTAGTGGGCGCGCGCGAGCGCACACATCAATGAACTAACGCGTGCATTAACGCAAACACGTGGGAAGAGGAACAGGAGGAGTGGAAACTGATAGCAGGGACAGGCAGAAGCAAAATAGGAGAAAGAAAAGTTATAGGCGGAGAAAGAGAATTGTTGTTGGCTGATAAGCTCCACTTTACTTTTGTACCTAAGGAAGGTAATAGAAAGGAGATAAAAAGGAAAAAAGATAAAAAAAATTTACAAAAAAAAAAAAGAGAAAAGGGGATAAAATAAAGGAGGAGAGTAAGCAGTGTTTAGTCTGGCTCATAAATTTCTTATCTTATAAAATAAAAAAAGTAAGGAAGGAGAAAGAGAAAATAAATAAAGGGGGGAAAAAAAAAAAAAAGATCCTTGATATAATGATATACTATAAGGATGGTAAAGAAAAAGAAGGCAGGAAAAGGGATTTCTTTTGATGGTGACACTTGTTTGTAATAAAAGGGAAAAGAGGAGGGAAAAAAAGCAGTGTGGAGTGCAGATCAAAACTTAAGAGTAAAAGTAGTAGTTAAATTGTGAAACAAATTTAGAACCCATGTCTGAAAAAAAAAAGAAATATGCTCGTGGCTACCAGAGTATCTGAAGATGGGTTTCATTGAATCTGTTACAAATAAACAGCTTCCAATGTGTTTACTGTGCCACATGACATTATCTAATGAAGCAATGAAGCCAAGTCGATTGCGAGAACATCTTGCTACAAAGCATTCACAAGATAACGATAAGCCCATTGAATATTTTCAAGAAATCTATAAAAGATTTCAAAATCGTTCAACAATAGCTGCATCATTTCAAAAACAACATGCAAAGAATGAGGATGGATTAACTGCAGCTTATCGTATATCACACTTAATTGCAAAAAGTAGTAAAAGCCATAATATTGGAGAAACTTTGATAATACCCTCTATCAAAGAATTTAGCTCAACAGTAATGCATCAGGATATACCTGAAGTTTTAAAAACATTGCCCCTTAGTGATAACACAGTAAAGAGACGCATTGACGAAATGGCGGCTAATGTTGAAAATAAACTTATAGGTATTCTCCAAAATTAATTTTCCATACAATTGGAGGAGTCTGTCATTGCAGATAATAATGCTCTACTGATGACATATGTACCGTACCTTGATGAAAACAATGCATTGCAAGAAGAAATGCTATTCACTGTCAATCTGATTACAGATACAAAAGGATTATCAATATTTAATGCTGTGAAATCATACTTTGCAAAAAATAATATACCCTTGAACAATATTGTTGCATGTGCTACTGATGGAGCACCATCAATGGTAGGCCGCTATCATGGGTTTGTTGCTTACCTGAAGAAGTGCCAAACGTTTTGTGTATTCATTGCGTTGTGCACAGACAGCATATTGTAGGGAAACATTTAAGTACAAGTCTCCATTCATCATTAAGTATAATAATTATAGCTGTAAATAAGATAAAATCTAATGCCAAGTGTGATAGAATGTTTCAACAGCTGTGCCAGGACAATAACGAGCAGTTTATTAGATTACTTTTACATACAGAAGTTCGATGGCTCTCAAAGGGTACATGCTTGTCTCGTTTTGTTGCATTATTTGATAGTGTCGTACAGGTTTTTGAAAGTGATAATGAGGCTGGTCTCTATGAACAGTTAAACGTAAAGAATGATGCCTTTTATTTGGCAGACATTTTCAAGAGATTTAATGAAATTAATTTGCAGCTTCAAGGAGCCAATATATTTCTTATAAGTTTAAAAAATATTGTGTCGTTTATCGAAAAGCTTGATCTTCTCCGTCATATTTTCAAGAGGAAATTATCAGTTTCCTGAATTGTCCTCAATAAACAATGATGTAACTCCGGGGGATATTGAAAGGTTCAGTAGCCACCTCAAGGAACTCAAATTGGATATGGAAAAACAATATTTCAAGATATTTTGAACTTAAAGGTGCAAGACTGGATGATAAATCTTTTTACAGCAAATATTGCTGAGGTTGATATAACTTGCCAAGAAGAACTATTAGAACTTAAATATGACAAAGAGAGTAAATAATTTTGGCAGTGGTGAATACCAAAAACTGTCAAAATAAAAAAATGCCTGCATTATATCCAAATATGTGGAAAACGATGTTCAACTTATTGATACATTTCCCTACCACATATCTTGTAGAATCAGGTTTTAGTGCTGTTAATCATATTATGAGCAAACAGAGAAACCGTCTAAATATCACGAAATAGGAGACCTTCGTTTGTTCCTTACAAAAATTGAACCAGATATCAAATATTTAGTCATGCAGCATCAGCCTCAAGGAACTCACTAGTAAAGCTAATTTCAATTTACTTTGTTTTCTAATTATAGATAGAATTTTGCGTCCACAAGTGGAGTCTTTACCATCCTTTATACATGACACAAAGCAAACCCTGGCTCTCCTTTCTAACCTGACTTTGCCTGAATCGGCAGCACTCTGTAGCTGAGATGTGGAATTTCTATATTCCTCCATACCCCATGAAGGAGGTATCCAACACGTCCAGTACCTCAAAAAGAGGGGACAAAGTTACCAACCGCAGTCTGAATTCATTTTGGAGCTCCTCAAGTTTATTCTTTCACATAATTATTTCCACTTTAATGATAAACTCTACTACCAGGTGCGGGCCACTGCGATGGGGACAGCTTGTGCCCCATCTTATGTCAACCTGCACCTGAGCTGGTGGGAAGAGGTTATTGCAAGTTCAGACAAGTTTTCGTCATATATCCCATGATACATCTATGGGCTAGATATATAGACGATATCTTGATTGTATGGAAGGGTACTCTCGAGGACTTTAATAGGTTTGGAATCCTTTTGAATCATAATGAGCTAAACTTGAGATTCACCTCAGAATTTTGGACGCGGGACACTAAACCTTCTTGACTTGACAGTTTCAATTACTAACCAAGGAACTATTCAGACAACTAAGGCTTCCTCTATGGGGATAGCTTAAAACCTAAGGCCCCTACCTCAGGGTCTGCAGAAACTGCAGCACCATTGAGGACTTCAAGAACAAAGCAAAAATTCTAAAGCAGCAGTTTAAAGATGACGGCTACCCTAATAAATGCCTGGAAACAACATATAGTAGAGCTTTGGAGGCCCATAGAAACAGGTTACTTGGCAGTAATCCTTTAACATCTACCAACCCACCCGGCAACATATGATGCCGGGTGGGATAGAGCCAAGAGGGGCGTTTCAAAAATTTTGGCCCCTTTTAACGGATGATATACATCTTAAACAAATTTCTTCGTTTTGTGTGTTGCCTGCAAATTTATTAAAACGCAATTCGAAAAAGGTAACTGACAGTGAATGCAAACAGTCAATTAATATTACCTCATTCTTTAACTGCAATACCGCAGGTTTGGTTTACTTCTTACTTGTGACTGACTCCAAATATGTACGCAAAACCTTTTGTCCTTTCAAAGAAAGGATAAAGGAACATGCAAGGTGTCCAAATCTTACTGTAGAGACCCCTTTGCCCGTTACTTGAAGGAACACAACTCAGATGACTCAAAAGGTCTCTGCTTCTGTGGGTTGGAACTGGTAAAACGTGACAAAAGAAAAGAAAGGGCGACTGCGATAGATTGAGACAACGTGAGAGCTTCTGGATATATCGGTTGAAGACCCTCCAATCCGAAGGTTTAAAAGGAGGGCTTCTCCTTTACTCCTTTTATCTAACGGTTTCTCACACTTCACTGGTTGGATATATATTTCTATCCATCACTCAGCATGGAAGTTTGTGACATTTAGCATGTATTGGTTGGATTTGGCATGGAAGTTTATGACATTTAATATATATTGGTTGGATTTGGAGGTAAAACTATTTAGAAAGTATAGCCCCTCCTAGATTCTGATTAATATGTACTTCCTGTCCTACCACCTAAATGATCAAATATAATTGCTTAAACTTAATTTAATATCCCTCATTAAGGATTTATAAGATTGTCCTTTCACAAGGACTGCAATTCAAGTGATTATCTGGCACTAGGGGTGAGTATCTAAGCATCCTTCTCCATGCTCAATCACAAACACGCCACTTACAGAAAGCCGCCCTCCCCCTGTAGACGCGATTCGCAGATGTCACAAAAAAGCTACGGGTTCTTGCAGCAATAAAAAATGGCGCTCTCAGTCATAATCCAGCTCTTGAAAAATGAGCATGTTAGCACCAAAACGCGCGTTGGTTAGACTCCACAATTGTGGATTTTTTACTTTAGGATCACTGCCTCTTTCCTTTTAATTTGTCTTGTAGGAGTCACTTCACAATTAGGTAGCAGTCATCATTCTAGCTAGACTATGTGCTGCCTCAAAGTAGCTGCTAGGTAGTTTATTAAGAGATAGCCATTCGTAATAGTTCTAACTAGACCAGGGACTGCCTTGAAGCAGCTACTAGTAGCTATTAATAGACTTAATCAGGTTTACTCTAGCTATCTTTTTCTGCACACTACTAAAGATATCTATATTGAATCTGCTCTTTTAATAGGCAGTATATCTATCTACTTGCAGCACAAAAACAGTTGGATTCCTTATTCCTATTCGTCTATCAGTGCCGTTGATAAATTTTACCACATGACAGGAGTCTTCATATTTTGCATTAACTTTCTTTACTAACTCCATGGCAGCAAAGAAAAACCAGTTAGCACACAGTCAGAGTGTATATATGTGAAAGCTTATCCCAAGCACTTCCTCTTTCTTTGCTGCCCCATCACAAGTCAGGTCAGAGTACTGGTTCTATACTTTTGTTTTTAAAACTGTACTTATTGTATGTGATTCAGCTTCTCCTGTGGTGGTGGCAGGGGCTATCCTTTATCTCCACCTACCTAGCGGGGCTGTTATCTCTATAGTAGGGTTCTTTAGGCACAAACGGGCCGTTCGCAAGGTTTCCCGTTCGGGCCTTTTCTGTGCATTAGGTTCGGGGATTTGCGCATGAACTAACAGTTCGTGGATCTCTGTTCGCGGAGTTCCATTCTCAATACGTTCGGTAGTTTGTTTTTCGCTTAGGGACCGTTCAAAGGAATTCTGCCATTCACGTCTAATCTCTTTCCCCTAGTGAACACGTTTTGTTGGCTTTTTCTATGCCATTTAGCCCGGTTCTCGTGAGACCCGTGTCGGCCATCTTGTTGGTGTGTTTAATAGTGGATTCTACTCTCATCACTAAGAGGCTCTCTGCATTTGCAGTCCAGCTGTGCATACTGGTCAGGTTGGTGTAATACCCCTGGGGAGTGGGACTGCCAGTCAGGTATACCCTAGTAATCTGGCAATGGGTGAGCCCCCATTTGGTAAATAGCCAGAGTGCAGCTTAACGGAATCTGTTTATGCAATTCAGATTTCCTGGGTGACCCCAGTGATTATAAGAGTCTGCTTTATTGCCGCACACCATTAGGCTGTGTGTAAATTACAGCCTTTTTCACATCCCTCCACGTCTCCTACCTGTGCCTGTTTAGTATATCAAATGCATAGATAACCATAATATGGAAGATACCCAGAATCCCATGGACCTTCAGGCAATGATCAACGCGGCGGTGGCCGCATCCCTGGAGAAGGCTATGGCCAAAGTGATCCCAGTGGCCTCTGATGCTATCAGGCCGGTTCCTTAACGCTCCCAAGGCAGGGAAGATGCAAAGTTAGAGAAAAAGCAGGGAGTGTATGTCAGGTTGCTGTTACTTAATGGGGGGTAACCCCTAGATAAAATAAAAATAAAGCAAGAACAGAAAAGCTAGATAGGGAATAAATAGGTCTGAACAATTTCCCCTTCAGGCTTTAGTGTATTTGAGCAACCCCTACTAAACGGATAGAAAAATTAGAAAATATAACTTAATTAGCTAAGGTTAAAATCCCTATATATCATTTTCAAACTGTAAAATAAAACAGGGGAAAAAAGAAAAGAAAAAAACGTATACTAAAACAGTGCTACCCTTGTCTATTGATAGCACCAGTGGCACGGGGATTTACCAAAAGAAAGAAATAGTTACAGTCTTCAAAAATACAAAGTATCTAAGACTGTAATAAAGAAATAGTTCTGCAGGACAAACAACTTAGAGTCACAACATACCGATTTTTATGGTACACTTATTGGAATCTCTGGGATGCATTGTCAACAGGGCCAAGTCCGCACTGACTCCCACCCAGATAATTCAATTCCTGGACTTCGAGATAGACTCCCGGTCCTGCACGCTCCACCACCCGTCTTCCAAAGTGACAGCCATCTGGAAAGAGATCCGCAAGGTCCTCAAGCTCGACTCCATCCCACTCCGACAACTGGCTTGAATCGTTGGCCTACTCTCCTCCTCAATCCAAGCCATATTTCCAAGCCCTCTGCACTACCGTGCCATGCAACGGCTGAAGAGCCGCTTCCTCAGACAGAACCCCACATACAACCAGCGGTTCCGCTGACAGACTTGGTGCGTCAGGAACTAGAATGGTGGCTAAACTGCATGCAAGCATGGAATGGTCACGGCATCTTTGGCAACCACCCAGACTTCCTACTGGAGTCAGCCGATGGGGATCTACCGATGGGGATGCATCCATGGGAGGAACATGGACAACCCAAGAACTCACAATGCACATCAACTGCCTGGAGTTATTGGCCAGATCCTTCGCTATCCGCAGCCTGGCAAAAGGACAATCCAACTGTTCTATTCTCCTTCAGATGGACATCTCTGCCGTACGCTACTTTGATCAACCCTGGTTCCCAGACCTTCTCACCATGTCTTGCGAGGATCCAGTTCTCCTGCCGGAAGACCCAATGCTACTCTGGGACCCAGTAGGGAACCCATACCCTATGCTGCTGGACAGACGCCTGTCCTTAATGGCCTGGACTCTTTCAGGGGCGCATGGTGTACCAACGACCTAAGACCTACCGTGGGATTCCTGGGCCCCAGGAATACGTAAGAGTTACCTATCTGCCTGTCGATCTTTACCAGCTCCTATTTCCGTGATCATGAATTTCCCCTCTTCACTCTTTGGGGAAGGTAAGTCATACCGCATCATCAATGTCATCAGGTCCGCTATATCGGCAGCCCATGTACCGTCCCAAGGGAGGGTGGTTGGGGAGAGGGAGAGAGAATGTGTGTGTGTGTGATGGATCCATCCATCCCTCCCTCCTTCCCTATATATAATATTTCTATGCAAACACACAAACTTTGGGCTGGAAGGTAGTGTAGGAGGGGGGCGGGCATAGATAGCGAGCTGAGCTGTCAGCTCAGCTTGTGAATGCGCATACTGCGCACATGCGCGGTAGAGTGCTCAGTTTATTCAGAGCGGCATTAAATGTCGCTCTACGAAGAACGCGATTGGTGCAGTGTGAAGCCGCGCATGTGCACCAGATCGCTATTACTTTGCATCGTCATTTTGACGAAAAAGGGGACGTGGCCTGCTGAGGAGCACGGCGCTGGAATGGAGGAAAGTTTATATGATAAAAATGGCTCTAATTGATTTTTTTATTAATGGGAAGTTCAAATAAAAGCAAGAAAGAAGGCAAGGGGACCGGTCTTTCTTGCTTTTATATGCTGACTACAGTGCTCCTTTAACACAGTCATTTATGTTTTTCGTTTCTTATTTATCCAGTTAGGGATTTAATAAAATTAAATAGGTTTTTGTTTTTATGTATTAAGGCATTAAGCCTACTATTGGATTAGCAGCTTTCATCAGGGTAGTAAGATTAGTACTTGTATTGCTCTTTGTAAGTCCATTCTAATCTTCTTTATTATCTTCACGTTGGGTTATGCCCTAATTACCCTACAACCATTACAATTTTGGTGGAAGTTCTTTCTCTGACTGTCTTTATTTATTTCCATTCAGGTAGTATATACGTTTCTCTGGTAGGTCTCTGGCAGCTACTTCATCTAATATGGTGTCAGTCAATACTTTCACTATTATTTACTTTAGATTGCTAGGGTGTGGCATTTGATGGCATAATCAGCTACGGACCTAGACCGCTGTTAGATACTCATCAACGCCTTAGTTGAATTCTTAACCCTACCAAGAGCATTAGAAGCCCTGCAAAACGCAGTGACAAAGTCTTGGTAATTATTAACCAAAGGGCCATTAGATTCCCATAGAGGATTAGCCCACTTTAATGCCTGGTCAGTGAGTTGGTTCAGGACAGGGCCGGACTGGCCTCTGCGATACTGGAAAATTTCCCAGTGGACTGCGGCACCTGGGGTTGCGCATGTAGGTGCCACCGGGTGGCCGGTCCGGTGGCACACTGAGGGGGCCAGCTGCGTTACACACTGGTAATGCCGTGCGGCCGCCTAGCCGGTCTGGTGGCACACTCAGCATAGGAGGACTGAAGCAAAGAGCATGTCTCTATTATGCTCTATTGCGGTTCCCACAATCCCCACACAGTATGATGTGACTGTGCTGGGAATTGTGGGAACCGTGAGGGAGCATGACAAAGGTCCTAAGGGGTCAAAACTTTGCCTAGATTATTTTCTACATTCAGAAAGGGAATAGAGACACGCAAGCAGAGGGGGAGAAAGAGAGAGAGGGGAAGGAAAGAGATGGGGAGAGAGTGACACAGGAAAAGGAGGGCGATAGAGAGAGAGAGGGGGAATAGAGAGAAAGAGACAACGGGAAGAGATGTGGGGGGAGACACACACATGGAAAGGGGGGAGAGAGACACAGAGGGGGAGGGGAGAAAGAGGCAGACTGGGAAGGAGAGGGGAGACATGGACACAGAGGAGCAGTGAAGGGGAGAAAGAAACATACAGAGGGACTGTGGGGAGAAAGAAAAAGGCTCACAGGGGGGCTGGAGGTAGAAAGACACACAGAGTGATAGATATATATATACACACATAATATTTAAACATATATTAACAAGATAACGTCATTTCTTTACAGTTGTGCCCTACATACATTCATTATTTTAATCCCATTACCAAACTTTACTTAATATGTCAAGGTAGTTAGACTAAAACATTGATCACATGCAAAGGCACGTCTGCTTAAAATAAATCTGCACTTTTGTTTATTTTAAAGCCTATGAGTTCTTTTTTCCATGTTGGAGTAATAATTTTTAATTTTAAGTTATCTTTTCTAACTCTGTATCAGCACACTAATTTTTTTCCAGGGCTTTTAGTTCACAGTCTGGCCCTAGTTCAGGATATATCCCACGTTAGATCTGTAGGCAAGGACCAGGGAGACATTTCGAAATGAAACTGAACGCATTAAACAAGTTCGAGGAACATAAACCACAATAGGGCACAGTAAATGGTACTAAATAACTTTATATAGTGCTAGGTGTGATTAGATTGGTCTGCGTCACACCTACGGCCCTAGAACTAGCGTGAATAGACGTCAAATTTGCTTTTTCCTAGACATGTGAAATTCGTTTCATTCCAAAATTTAAATTTGGACATTCTGATGCTTCAGAATTGCCGAATTTCGGAAGTGCCGAAGTGCTTCGAATTTCTGAAAAGTGTCAAAACAGGGGAGGGAGGGAAAATAAAGGAAATGATTAATGATGACAAGAATCTAACCCTAACCGTTACTCTATCCCTAACCCTAACCACCACAACCACTTACACATCTAGGGTTAGACTTAGGCAATTGCTGAAGTCCCGAATTTCGGACGTGCCAAAGCAAACCAAATGGCCCAAGTGAACCAAAATTTTTTGCCCATGCACATCCCTACTTTTTCCCAAAATGCTTACTCTATTTCTGATCTAGTTCTCTTTAAAACATAAAACAAAGTAGGGACTACTTTGTCTTATGTATTTTTCCTACGCTTGACTTTCTTTGACACAAGGAGGAGCTAAACTAAGCTGAACGTCCTGTGTCAAAGAAAATTTTCCCACAATACTCACCCTCCTCCATATTCTTGCCTCGTTTCGAACGTCCTCTAAAGTAGACTAGGGCATTAGCAAATTAACAGAATTGCATCCTAACAGAATGTTGACAGTTTGTTCATTAGTGTTCTGATGAAATTCGGTCATTATGTTTGATTCGGAAATTTAGTATGAATGCCACGAGTATCAACCAAAAAGCTGAAAAAAAAAATACTTCGTCAATAAGGGAGGTTAAAATCTCCCTCCTGTCCCTACTCGCTGGGCCTAGAATAGGGGCATGTCAACTAAACAGTGAGAAACATTCACTGGCTGCTTACTGTTAAAAAAAAATTTTTTTTATATTATATATATACACACACACACACAAAAATAAATAAAAGAATCCCCATCCAATAAACAGGGC